TTATCTTGTTTAAATTTGTTTAAATTCACAATTCTCAACTTTTCTCAAAAGTTTTTAATTCCTGATAGGAATCACCAAATTGTCACTGAGTTCATTTTCATTTATCTTAATATTTAAGATGAAAGGTTACAGCAGCTAATTCCATATGTTAGAGTTTCTGACCTTAAGATTTTCTCTAAGTTCTACAGGTATTCATTATACTTAAATCAACTCGACAATTTATCACGTCTTAGAATTTAAGATATAATAGTCAAACTCATAATGTCAAACTCAATAGTAAGTAGTGTAATGTATTATAATAATTCTAGGTGGAGAATAATGTTGAAGAAAAAAGTAAATTTGTATGGATTGAAATTGATTTCTTTATTACAATACTGAAACTTGTTAAAGAGTTAATTTACAATTTAAGCAAAAAGCTATTCTATTTATATAAAATGAATTTGCTATAGCTAACTACTTGCTACGCTATAAATTAACTAAATATAGATATATGTTCTAATAAAATATATTTAAACGTAATAAAATAATAAAAATAATATAAACTATAAAAATAATAATAAAAAAAATAAAATAAATTACAAACATTAAGAAAATTATATGCGAAACAGAATAAATAGAATAAACAGGCTATACAGAAAATATAAAAGAAATTAGCAAAGTAAAAATTACTGTTGATCATTATTAAACGTAGCAGTGATATTATCTAATGTGAGATTATTATTAATTGGCAAATTCCACATGATATTTAGAGCTGTAATTTTTTCTGTTGATAATACAAAAGAATTTAATATTTTAATTTATTTTGACAAAGAAATAAATATTGTTTATAAGGATAATTTTATTATATTTATAGAATTAAAATAATATTATAATATACAAAATATAAATTTAATTTATAATTTTTTCTTTAAATATAATTATATAATTTAAAATTTTATAATATTTGAATTTATATTTATATAACTATTATATAATTCTTAAAATATAAAAGAATAAGATAAATTTTTTTAATATTTTTTTATATAATATTTATAATGAGTATTAAGATCTTTATTTTCAACTGTTTTATATAATTCTATTAATTTATTTCCATGTTTTTTTTTGCTTTTTTATACCAATACATTGCTTTATTCAAATTTTTCTCAATTTCTTCACCTTTTAAATATAAATATATAAGATTATTTTGAGCTATACTATATCCTTTTTTAGCTGAAATATTATATAATTCAAATGCTTTATCATTATTATTTTTAATACCTATTCCAAATTTATAACAATTACCTAAATTAAATAATGCTATTTCATTTCCATTTTTTGCTGCTTCTTGATACCAATAAAAGGCTTTTTCTAAATTTTGTTCTATTCCTTCACCATTTTCATATAATTTTGCTAGATTATTTTGTGCAATACTTTGTTTCTTTTTAGCAGCAATTTTATATAACTCAATAGCTTTTATTTTATTAATATCAGTTCCAATTCCTACATCATAACAATAAGCGAGATGGCATTTTGCAATAATATATCCTTGTTTAGCTGCTTTTGTATATAATTCAAAAGCTTTTTTCTCATCTTTAATTACACCTATACCATCTCTATAACATTTACCTAAATTGTATTGTGCAACATAATATCCATCCTCTGCTGCTTTTTGAAAAAAATAAAATGATTTATCATAACATGTATTTATTAATAATTTTCCAATATAATATAATCCAATTTGATATAATCCTTTAAATTTGTTTGCTTTATAAGTTTTTCTTAGTTTATCTTTTACATTTTGATTATAATATATTTTAAGAGTATAACTTGCAACAATATCTCCATTTATTGCTGCTTTTGTATACCAACAAACGGCTTGTACTTCATCTATTTTAGTTCCAATTCCATAACGAAAACAATTACCAAGCTGAAATTGCGCGTCAGCAATTTCATTTTTAGCTAATTTCTCATAATATTCAAATGCTTTAATCTCATTTTTATTAACTCCTTTTCCTAACTTATAGAACTCTGCAAGATGTAATTTTGCAGTTAAATTTTCTTCATTAGCTGCTTTTTTATACCAATAAATTGCTTTCTCATTATCATTTTCAGTTCCAATACCATGCTCATAACAGTAACCTAAATAAAACTGCCCAATGATACTTCCATTTTCCGCAGATTTTTGATACCATTCAAATGATAAATTTTTAATGCATTTATTATAATAACACTTAGCAAGATAAACTTGAGCTATTGGATAATTATGTTCTGCTGCTTTGGAAAATAAATTAAATGCCTCTTTATGATCCTCTTTTACGCCAATACTATAATAATAAAATAATCCAAGAAACCAAATATATTGCGATTTGTTTTGTTTTGATAGCCAATTAATAAGTTCTTGTGTATCATAATTTGATTTTAATATTTGTTGATTGATGAGTTGCTGAATTTGTTCAATCGTAATTCCTTCATTATGATTCCTAATTATGAATACAATGAACTCATCGGCAGTTGCTGATAAAACAGAAAAGTATGAACTATTTTCAGGTTCCATTATGTCAGATTCGTAACCTGAATCGTGTCTATTTGGTATTTTATCGATTAATAAATCTTTATTTATATCTGTAATGTCTTCGCATGTTTTGAAATTAGAATTACATTTCTCTAATAAATATTCTTTATCATTTCTTTTAAGAGAAATTGATTGAATAGTTGAGACGAGCTCTTGCATATCTGAACGTTCATTTGGCTCATCGCGATAATATTCTAATAAAAAGTAAAACTAGATGAATAAGGTATTTTACAAATTATTAACTATTAAAATCATAACGTACTTGTATTTAAATCGCTGTATCCTGAATCGTGTCTAGATACAATAATATTTGATATTTTATCAATCAATAAATCTTTATTTATATCTTTAATGTCTTCGCATGTTTTGAAGTTAGAATCACATTTCACAAATAAATATTCTTTATCTTCATTAATATCATTTATTTTAAGAGAAATTGTTTGAATAGTTGAGACGACTTCTTGCATATCTGGACGTTCATTTGGCTCATCACGCCAACATTCTAATAAAAAGTAAAACTAGATGAATAAAATATTTACAAACCATTAACTATTAATATCATAACATACTTGTATATAAATCGCTGTATTCGTGAGGAGTCCCAACAATAATTTTCTCCCGTTCTCCATTCTGTATAGCTAACGCTAAACTTATATCATAATTGGCTTCAGCATAAAAGGGTCTACGCCCACTTGAAATTTGCCACATAATAACACCAACACTATATACATCAGATTTCTTATTTAATTTGTAATGATGGTTATTATTTTTTGAACTATTAAATACTTTTGGATCAATATAAGGTATGACGCCAAATATTCCAAAAGTGCTATTCGATGCTTCCGCAATTTTATTTGATAGTCCAAAGTCTGCAAGCTTAATATTATTCCGGTGTATAAGTATGTTATCTGAATGCTTTTATATCAAAAAATTGTTAAATAAGGTTATATTAAAATGAATTTAGATTATATTTTAAAAAGAAATGAAACTATTTAGGAAAAAATCATTTTTTATAAATCAGATAAACAAAAATATCATACCAAATCACGATGGACTATACCACATTCATGTATAAATGCTACTGCACTTGCAAGTTGTTTGGCTAACCGGATCTTATCGACCCATTCCAATTTATAAAAATGTTCTTTTAAATAAGTTTTTAATGTACCGCAATCGGCATATTCCAGAACTAATGCGTATTTATTAATTTGACTTGGATCTGTATAAAAAAAAAAATACTTAATAAATTCAATATTTTTTATAAATATATTAAATACTCACTGGCTTCTTTTTTTTTAGCGATTCCATATAATCGTATTACATTTTCATGAAAGTCAACAGACCGATGTAACTTTATCTATGATTATATAATTCATTATATATTTGAATAATAAATTATTTCAAAAATTATTATAAAATATTATACCTCGTTGACAACTTCTTTAAAAGTAAATTTGTTAGTATTAAAGAACTTTAAAGCAAATAAGCAATCTGTATTTTTCCAATTTGCACGCACAACTTTGCCGAATGAACCAGTTCCAATATGTTGCAAATTACTAAACTCAGAATACTCATATAATTTAATAAATTCCTTCTTATTAAATTCTTCTAACCAAGCATTAACATTATTTTCAGAATCCATTCTTTATTCTTAAGAAAAGGAATTAATTGTTTACAAAGAGCAACATTTATGAACACATACAGAATTCTAAGTAGCAATATGATCACATGCAACCATGCAGGTGGTACGATTAAACATAAAAAGAGAAAATACATACAAATTTATGTCATATGACGTAATCAATCTAAAGTAGGTAACGGGAACCGTTAGAGCATCCGAAGCGTCTCACTAAAAAAAGTATTATGTAAACAAATGCACACTTCAATACGTTACACTTGATCCCAGTTTCTGATTGGCCATATCACGTGTGCGGACAGACAACACATGCATGATTTGCAAACATGCTATTATTAAAAAAAATTAAAAACATCTTTTTCATAATTGTTTCATTTATCTCATTAAATTTTATGAATCAGACACTCCCTTAACCATAATATGCTTTAAAATCAAGGTTTTTTTTGGTTGCCGCCTCTCTATAACGATAATTTATAAAGTTAAGGTTGGGCCAGTTAATTACTTACTATTGACATATTGAAGGAATCCCCTAGCTACAAGACTAGTATGCATGGCAGTGTTGACAAATGATTCAAATGACCTCAAATGACCAAATGACTGATAAAAAGTCATTTGGTTAATCCAATCATTTTAAAGATAAAATTTATTTATTTTGAATATTTAGTTTTGCATTTAGCTACATGTAAATATATAAATAAAATCAACATTTAGAACATTAATCATATCTATTTATAATTTTTATTTATTTATATAAACAATTAATGTAATTTATTATTTATTTATTAGTAATCAAATGTAATTTATTTTATTGCTTCATATAAACTAATAAAGAACTACATATTAAATCAATTCCTAACTAAAGATATAAAAAAATAAAGATTAGTATAAACATTTTGCATAACGCCATTAACGAACCTAAAGATAAAAAATAACTAAGGAATTAATAAAGACAAAAGTATAAACAAAAAATAAAACAAAAGGAATAAGAAAAAAAATTAAAAAATTAAAAAATAAAAAATAAAAAAAAAAAATAATAGAAAAAAAATAAAAAGAATTAAAAAAAGAAAAGAACGAAATGACTTACCATTTCGTTCAAAATCTCAAGATCCCGTTCGTTCGTCCGTTCGTCCGGTTTTACTAAAAAATAAAAGAAAACAGGAATATTAATTACGATGAAAAAAGGAAAAAAAAAAAAAAGAACGAACTTTATCTTTTTGTTCGTTCAGGAACCGTACGTCCGTTCGTCCAGGTTTTGTTTCTAAAAGAAAAGAATAAGAAAAATAAATTAGAAAATATAGTAAGAAAAAACAAATAAATATAAAAATAAAAATAATAAAAGAAAACCTTAAAAGAAAACAGAACGAAATGATTCACCATTTCGTTCAAGGTCTCAAGATCCTGGTCGTTCGGCTTTGTCCGTTCATTCAGGCCCAATTCCTAAAAAAAGGAAAAGAGAACGTTAATCACGTGCCTTAAGAGTAAAAAAAAAAAAGGAAACATTACCTTAATAAAGTATATTTCATTCGTTCAAATTTTTTAAAAAAGATTATCTTAAGTTCTGTCCCCTAAAAAATCCTTAAATTTGTCTTTGGTAATCCATAAAATTCCGGATCCACAAGGATTGATCCGGATCGTCAAAATATTACTGATAGATAACAGTTATTTATTGGTTCTCGCAAATGACTTTCAAATAACTTCAAATGACCTGACTACCGAAAGGGTCATTTAGGTCATTTGTCATTTGCGAAATGACATATTTTAAATGATCCAAATGACCGGGTCATTCAAGGGTCATTTGAAGGTCATTTGCAACCAAGATGAATAGTCCCATGCAATGCATGGGACTATTGTCTTGCTGAAAGTTCCAGACACGTTCCAGCATTTGTTCAATGGCAGGTAGTGCTTCTGAAGAATTTCAAAACTAATTAGTCCGTTACTTTTTGCCGAAAGAAAAAAGTCTTTTTTCTCCCTTAATCAAATCTCATCGAGGTAAAAATTTTACTCGATTTTTTAGGATGGGAAAATTGGCAGAGAGCTTTTATATCAAATGTTTTATGTATTCTGGAATAATGGAAGGCTGTTCCATCTGAAAAAAAAAAAGAGTTTTATTCCAGTTGAGAACGAGCTCACATTCATTATGTGCACAGTTAAACATTAGCGTTGTTATTCAGCTTAGCTTACCTTCTAGAATCATTAATTTAACCCACTAAACTGATATTTTTTTTTTAAGCAAATATTTAAAATTTTTTGATGCAAAATATAATTTTATTAAGATAATGTTTAAAAAAAAGTACATTTAATTTTTATGCAAGTAACAAACTCTTCCATGTAAATGGCATAGTTCTCTAGTATTTCGATATTGCCAATTTTTGTTATGAGCAAAAAATGTATTATTTCCCTGATACTAGCCCAGCATAGCGGACATGCTTATATCACCATGTCGATCATATATAATTGAATTATCACATTATATAAAATCAGCCGATCCAAAATCAAAGCTTCGGGGCGACACAAAAACAGTAAATCAAGATCAAGCATTTTACATAAGTTAGCTTAAGCTGATATAATTAATTAAGTAATTACATAATAAATTAATTATTTTAGACTTCAAAGGTTTGGGAGAACTATGCCGACCATTATATTTCATATTTTATGTAGAAAATTATATAAAGTATTATAATAAAGTTTTAAACAACACAAATGTGTTAGCTTTGAGGCAACTTTATGGTATGTTATTATAAAAATATATTAATTTTGGCACAGCACACTTTTTTTTATATAATTGCAAAACGTTGCTTCTAATATAACTTACCCAATAATAATTAGATTTCGATAAAATTTAATGTTATTTCATTAAATGAAAATGCAGCTATTTGTAAAAATTTAACATATATTATTATGTAGGAATTCCGATCGGAGTAAATTAACTTAAAAAATATGTTGATTTTACGGCATTTTTATATGTGATAAAAATGAATAAATGGTCAGCAAATTGATCGGCAAAAAGTGATGAAATTAAGCATATCATAATCCAACGCACTGACTATAACATCATGCCTGTCTAGAGTCTGGACTCATATTCGTGTGACTCGAGTCAATTCGAGTTAAATTTTGATTCGTGTCAAAATTTTATAGACGCGAAACTTGATTCGATTAAGTATTCGAGTAAACTCGAATTATATTAATTCGAATCTAGGCTCGAGCTAACTACATAAACTTCGAGTGCATACTACACTTTATTAAGGCACCATACAATTTATTTCTTAAATACTAGCATGGGTTAGTAGGTGAAATGTTATTTTTAAAAAGAAATTTGTCTTTTTGATCATAAGCTAGATAATCGAATTTACAAAATTGAAGTTTTTCTTGGCGAAAATTAATGAAATTCCTTGAAAAGTCAAACAATTCATGTGTTAGTAAAATCGTTATGGTATTTTGATCATTATATATTGCATTAAATATAAAACATAATTCATTGTTAATGTAAATTTAAGATACCGATTACAAAAAAAAAAAAATTTTTTTTTTAATTGAAATCGGCATTTATGAATGGCGCAATAACTGCGGAAAAATAATGAAAATGTCGAATCAATTATATATGTTAAAAAATTATAATTGTTTTCGTTTTTATAATTGTTTTATTACATTTAAATTTATTATATTTGATTTTTATTATATTCATTATATTCGTTATATTAATTATTCTATTTATTAGATATATTCGTTATATTTATTTTACAATAGAAAAGTTAGTATTAAGAAATTTTGTATATAAACCCGAAATCCGCTTTGTTCAAAGAAAGAGAGAGATTGACGAGTCTCGAGAAGAATCATCCGAAATCTTTAGATAATAAATTCCTCCCTTCACTTTCAACCTTTATCGTGTCTCCGTATAGACGACTATTAACCAAGGATTGTATCAAATAAATTGTATAAATCATTCTTAGGACGGGCCTGAGTTAGATTTAAATCGTTGTTTGGTTAATCTGGTTTCGGGTTTAAGACAGGTGATGATGTGACGCGATGTGACAAATTTCCTAACCCCCTTTAACTAATCCTTAATCCCCTAATAATAAAACCCAGAAATACAAATCTGGCTGCCCACTTTTTCCGGGTGACGCTTTTGTAACTCATAGCTAATTTCAAAAGTCATGGGACAGCCGATCATTTGTAGATCGATAAAAAAACTCGGTGTAGAATTTTTGAAGAAAAACATAAACATCATCGTTACGTTCGAATCAGTGGATCAGTGTTACGAGAATATCGACACAATTTTTTTATCCATATAAATCTGTGAAAGCCTTTTCCGAATCCTTATAAATGTTCTCGGAAGTATCTCGGATTTTATCGTGACGTTTGAAAATTAGCTAATAATTTGACCGGTTAACCTTTAACCACCAATTATATTTTTCACTTGTTAAAGTTAATTTGGTCCTTTTTACATAATATTTTCACATAAATATTAATGATTTCAGACTTAAAAAATTAAAATTTTTTAAATTTTTTATTAGAACTAGTAGTCACGTGATTTGTTATTGGCCAATCATATTAGTGTATAATTAGCCAATCACAGAAAAAGGCCCGCTATGCTATTAAGACTGCTAAGAACTACTCTGCTTGATTGAATGCAAAAGGTCTTTTAGTTACTATGATCATAATGGTGAATTTAAGTAGAAAGGTTGAGGGATAAGATTTCAGTTATGGCCTTATTATTATTAAAATCCTCCAAAAACATATAATATATTATCTTTGATTATACTTGCATTTTGCCATTCTTGAATTAATTGAAAGTTTATATGATGAATAACATCAAAAAAAATAAAGAAATATATTGACTACATAAAACTTTTTAATAAAACATTTTATTTTTAACTAAAATATTTTTTTTAAAGATACTAAAGATACATATAAATTAAATAGAATAAATTGAATTATCCTAATCAATTAAAATACAAACTCAATTCTAATATTAATCAGATATAAATTTTAAAATTTTAAATTTGAAATTTCTCATCTATTATAATTAATTGAATCATCTGCTTTTAAAATTTTATATATCTTTTAATAAAAGTTTTTATTTGAAAGCTAATTTCTAAATATTAAAATATTATAATAAACTTTCTAATTATAAAGTAGATACCTGCATAAGTCCAAAATTTGAAAGCCAGTCCAGTCTAAACTTTAAACCAAGAATTAAAATGCCAGTTCAACCTAACTTAACCTAAACTTAAATAAAATAAAATGATTAAATTGTTGAAATATTGTAAAAAAAAAATACATTACATATTATTATTATTGGAGATGTGAAATTTAACATATTTTATTATAATAAATAAACAAAAAGATTAATGAAAGAGTACTGTATTATTATTTACAAATAATATGAAATTAATTAATAATAATAAACATTTTATTTTACAATCAATGTCGACTAAATTTTAATTAAATAATGAATTTTATTAAAATTATAAAAAAATTTAGGCTGGTATTTGAATCTAGATCTAACTGAAAAATTTTAAACTTATTATTTTTCAACCTGTATCTGGCTTAAAATCAAGATCTGAAGTCTCTATTATAAAGTATAGGTAATAATTTTTAAATATTTTTAATGCATTTAAATGTTTTAATATTTGTATTTTGATTATATTTAAATCTATAATCTTTTTTATTATTTAAAAATTGTTAATTTGCAAGAATCTGTAAAATTGTAGCCTTATAGTAAATATATAGTCATCATTATTATAATAGATATAATGTGTTACAAAAAAAACTAGAATTTTAAACATATAATTTAAATTGAATTCACATGACTAAATTGAGTCTGATTTAAAAATTCTAAAATGGAAAATTGACATGATAATCATAACAATAAATTCTGACCCTTGATCAGAATTTTGTTTATTTGTTTTTCTGAGCAATACATTCTAAAATGTTAGTTTTGAAGCAAGAAAGATAATGATAAGCTATTTTATAATTGTAGATCGAAGGTGTATATAAAAGAACTGAAATTAATAGGATTACAAATATCTCTCTTTTCACAATTTATGACAATATTAAAAAAATAAAAAAATAATATGATAAGTCAAAAACAAGGAAGTAGATGCCTAAGGAAAATTACTAGCAAATTTTCTAATACTCTTAGATAAAGTATCTGAAGAAATAAATTGATCCCAATAAGGATCTTTGCTAACAAATTATACTAAAAAGGTCTTAAAGTATTCTATGTGATTGTTTCAAGGTATTTAACTATGCATGGTTATTAAAAATCTCTTCCAAAAGTAACTTTAATACATACCAATACTCATAAATAGAAATATATTGAATAAGTATAGTAGCATATCAATAATGATTAGAATACAACACTTTCTTCAGAAGAAACAGCTTTCCAGTTCTTCTAGAATACTGTAAAACATTGACATAAAGAAGTTTAACCAATATGCCTCATGCTAAAAGATAAAGCAAAAATTTTTGCATAGGACAGACTTTGCATAATAGGTAAAATAAGTTTATTTTATTTTCACTGAATAATAAATACAGAATTTTACATCAAAATACTTGAAAATTATATTTCAGAGATTGATAAAATACTTGGTGATGATTGAAAGCTTTAGCAAAACAATAATATGAAGCATATAGGATATCTTGCTAAAAAATTTTCATAAAAATGTCTCAGAAGTTATAGACTGGCTCTCAAATAGTCCTGACTTGAATCTAATCGAAAATTTATGGGTAATTGTCAAGAGGAATGTGGAATGTCGTTTGCTAAAAAAACTTAGTAAATTAGAAAGATATATAATAGAGAAATGGAGAATAATTCTAGAAATTTCGTTAACGAATTTTGCAAGTTCGATAAAATAATGTTAATGAGCTCATTATTGAAATAATGAAGAATGAATCTTCTATTAATTTATATTATTAAAAAAAGCTGGCTTTTAGTTTTCAAATAAAAAATTTTCATATATTTTTATATTTTTATCATCAAGTAATAAGCATCTACTTTATTCCAGTTTTTTTTGTAATACACTGTATATAGCTATTTTATATTAAATTTAATGTAACAATATATATTTAATATAGTAAATAATAATAATAATTTAGAGATGATTTAATGTAACTGTATAATAGATTTAAAGTATATATGAGGCCTTTGCAATAGAAAGGGAGAAAACTCAAAAAAAAATAAAAAATGAGTTA